AGTAATTTCAAACTTAATTTTTCAAAATTTATTTTCAAAGAAAATCTTAAAATTACACACATGTTTTGTTATATCAAAAAGGGGGAGATTGTTGAAAACATTTTGATGTTTCGATATAACAAATTAAGTATAAATGAATTTTAAGATTTTACAAATGGTATTCTAAGTATATTCGATTTAATTACTCGAATATCAAATTATTACTCCAAGTCTTCAAGATCAATTTCAAACCTTACTAAATGTGTAAAATTTTGTTTTATACTTAATATATTTTTGAAACAATTTTCACAAAGTATTTTGAACCAAAATCAAGCCTAAAATCAATTTTTCAGAGTGATGCATCGATGCACCATGGAATAAATCGAATATCGAAAGCATTTCATGCACCGATGCACATACTATGCATCGATGCACTCAAAGTTTTATGAAAACATCGAATGCATTTGATGCATCGATGCACCAGCCATGCATCGATGCACTCATGCTATTTTGAAACATCGAATGCATTTTATGCATTGATGCACTCTTAGTGCACTGATGCACTAAGGGTCCAACAGTCAAAATATTTGAATTTTACACTTGATGCACCGATGCACCTAGTGTATGCATCGATTCACTGATGCTCCCAACTGATTTTATTAATTGTTTTCACACTTAAACGGCTATATTGACTCCACTAATCATCCCCAACGTTCAGAATCAATTTAAGGAGTATTTAAACAAGCTTAGAAGCCATTTATAAACAAGAGAAAACAATAAGAAAACACAAGAAACAAGGATCAAGAGAGAATCAAAGAGAAAACATCAAACCTCAAGTTTAAAATTTCAAGCCTATTTTTTATTCAATATTCATTTTGCTTTCAAGAAAACTACTTGTACTCAATTATATTCATTTTTTAGTTTTATTTTCTTTGTTCTAAGAATTGTGCAAACAATCTACCTTGTGAGGACTTCCTTGTAAGTTTGCAAATTTGTAATCTTCTCTTTGAGAAAGAGTGTTCTCAAGAATTGGGGTATATTCTTGAGGGAGTTGTAAGGTTATCTCTTTGGCCTCAAAAGAAAGAACAAATTAGTGAATTTGTTGGAAAATCCTTAGTGTGGATAGCTAAGGTAGTGGACGTAGACTTTGGTTGACAAATTCGAACCACTCTAAATCGCTGTGCAAATCTTTTCAATTTTTGCAAAAGCTTCCACCAAAATTTTATTTGCCAATTCACCCCCTCTCGGCTGATTCCGTCAATTGATTAACTCAACAGAAAGCTCTTCGAATAGCCAAGGAGAGCCATAGACTGTTCGTAGCCAATGAAAGCCATCGGGAAAGAATGACAAGGCTATGTCCGGTGCGAAGAAAAATGTGAGCAAAGAAAATTGAAGTGTTACTTTTGTGATGGTCCTCATTTGATTAGATGATGTCCCGAGAAGCGTCGCCTTACAACCATCATGAAGAGGATGGAAGAAGGAGAAGTAGTATGAATTGGTGTGGTTGTAAGGGTTAAAGCTACCAAGCCAAGGAAAAGACTTGGTCCGATTGATGGGATCAATACGGCCAAGCAAGGAACGAGTCGAGACAAGGCAGTTGGTGTGAAGACAGCCGAACCCAGAAAAAAAGTCAGATGTGATTGTGAGTGTCCAAGCAATCAACTCAGGAGCAAGACTTGGTGAGGCTACATATTCCAAAGTAACCAATCAAGGGGCAGGCATGGTGCGACTACAAGTTCTCAAGTAGTCAGCCTAGGATCAAAACGTGACGAGACTGCAGGTGTCAAAGTAGTCAAGCACAAGAAGGGACCCGGTGTGATAGCAAGTGTAACATCCTCAATATCGGGTTAGTGACTAGATTGAAAAATTTTAGAATTTGTGATTAAAGTAGGATAATTTAATAATTCAATGATTTATTAGAAATATATAATGAAGGTTATTTAGTAATTATGGAATGAATTGAAGGGTAAATGGTCAATTGACAAGTAAGATTTTTATTCTTCCTTTATAAGAAAAGGAAACCACGTAGAAAGGGAGAGATTTCTCCAGAGTTCTCTTCTTCTCCTTTCTTCTTCACGTGGAAGCCAAGAGCAAAGGTAAGTTTAATTTAGTTATTGATTTCTTGAAATTTTAAGTTGGATTTGAGTATTTAGGGGTTATATAAGTTTAAGGAAAGCTTATATAAGTTTAAAACACCAAGAAGAGAGAATTAAAAATGATTTCTATTAAGAGTTTATAAATGAAATTTTATTATAAAAAGGTTTTTGAAGTTCTAAGGATGAATTTGACTTGTCAAGGGTCTAATTAAGAAGTTAAAAGCAATATAATTGAATTTGTAACATTTTGAAAATTTAGTGTAATTCTTGAATTACATATGGAGAATAGAATTTTGATGTTAAAGAGGGGATTAATGAATATAAATGAGTTTGAATATGAGTATGTAAGTTAAGAATAAGAAATGGGATTCTATATGAAGTTATTAAGCTGAAAATAGTGGATTTTCGGGCATAAATTGGAATTTTGGGCTAGTGTGCATCGGTACGCATTCATCATGTACCGATGCATCAAGGGTAAATTTCTAGAAATTGTTCAGTGTGTATCAATGCATAGGAAGTGCATCGATGCACCCCTTAAAAATGGAAACATCGAATGCAATTAGTGCATCGATGCATAAGGAGTGCATCGATGCACATGTTAAGGGATGCATCGATACACTGTAGAATGCATCGATGCACTTCAAGGAGAAATTGAAATAGACATTTCTTTTGGTCTAAGAAATGATAGATTATAGTATATCAATAGGATACTGATATGTATCAATGTATGATTATGTAGATATCGAACATGAACAAGTTCCGGAACGATTATCAAGTTAAGATTCGATCGAAAGAGAGGAAATCATAAAAGTGGATTGGAACTTAGTGAGGCCAATGTGAGTGCATACAAGTTAGTTTATGATGTTTAATGGAAATAAGACTTGCGACGAGTCTATTTCCTATATTAGAATGCATGAATTTATAATCATATGCATATGTTTGATTTGGGTACATGTGATATATATTAAAGTATGTATTAAATGATTTGTGTGAATACATGTATTGTAATAAGTTATAGGAATTAATATGAATGATCTATATGATTTCATGGGAATGTGAAATAGGTTATATGATATGTGACCATACATGTTACATAGTATACGTGATCAATTATAAGAATTAATATAATAGATTTATATGACTACATGAGAAAGGTGATGAGTTAAGTAAGATTAGACTATAGAGAAATATGAGAATAATATATTAGTGAAGGGAATTGAGTATAACTGATGACACCAAACCATAAGATAAGTATTTACTTATAGGATAATATGATATTATATGAATATATTTATAAGGAAGAATTGGGTGTTATATGATTTAGGTATGGAAATGATCTATGTGTAAGTAAATTACGTGATTATGTGACTATGTGTGAAATGGAGTAAACTAGGTAATTATAAGGTATGTGAGTACATGGTTATGGAACAAAGTATGTAATAATACAATGTTATTTGAGTACTTAACAATAAGTCATAAGATTACAGGCATATGTAACGTAAGTTATAAGATAAGAAAATATGGGCTTACATGTATTTGCGGATATATATATATATATATATATATATATATATATATATATATATATATATATATATATATGTTTATGTAAAACCATGCAAAGTGATATGAGAAGGGAACTACATAATTATGTGATCATATGAGAATGAAATAAAGAGCTATGTGATATATGCCATGAGATATATGAAAGAGAAAGTATATGTGATAATTGAAAGTGAATCATATGGTTATATGAAGATGTTCTACGTGCAAGTGATCTACGTGTATGTGTGATTTACATGGAAATGAACTACTTGACTACGTGTGATCTTATAAAAATGTAATAATGAGACTATGTGTATATGTGAATGTGTGATAACATAAATATTAATGCCCATGTTATGTGTTATGAGAGCTAGAGGTATAGTTGGCATGCCAAGAGTCGAGGGTCTACGCGGTCCTTCGGGACATATATGTATTCTTTGGAACATGTATGAGGTCTTTTGAGACACATATTTGGTCTTATGATTCTTAAGGAATTTTCTACGTGGTCCGTAGGGACATTTTATATAGCACTTCGGTGCAATTCTACGCTGCAATTCTACGTGGCACTTCGGTGCATTTATACGAGCTGTGGTGATAGCATTTGTGCACAACCTCTATAGACTCACATATCTATAGTTCTCACATGTGTAAATGGGCTAATAAAGAGATAACAATAACCATATTACATGTGACTTATATGCTTTTGTGCTATGAATTATATTACATGTTTTATGATTATATTTGGATTGTATGAATAAATGAGTCATATGTTGGTTAAAATGATAGGTATAAGAGGATATGTTTAAGGGATATAAATGATAATAATATTGATAGTAAAATAAGGCTAATGATGGAAATGATGAGTGATGAGTATATGTGCGTATATTCTTACATGTAATGATATATTGTATAGGTGTTATAGGTATTTTTTACATGAATAAGGATATGAGTGATATTATATGATAGTAGTGATTGTTACGGCATTATTACAAGTTATCGTTTACATTATATGTTTATTGCCTCACTAAGTCATAGACTTAGTGTGTGATTGTTTCACACGTAGGTTACAGAAGCGAGAAGAGAAGCGAAGAAGAGCAAGATAGGTCAACATCTCCCTTACAAAATTTTAGATCAGAAAATAGATTAGTTAAATGTGTTTGGTTATTTTGAATATAGTTGACACGTACTAGTTGATTGAGTTAAATATGCTCTAATCGATTTTGGTTATTTTGGTCAATTTATGTAAATAAACCGTTTTTATTTTAATGAAAGTTTTAAATTTTCTTTGAATTTTGTCAAGATTCAAAGTTTGAAAAGTCAATGTGACACCTCAGACTCGTATTCGGGTCGGGTACGGGTCTGTGGGTGTTACAGCAAGAGATAAATTCGTCAAGCCGAGGGTGCAGAGTGAGCAATTCCGCTCATAGTAGCCAGGATGGAGGCGTGGTCTAAGTTGAGGCGTCAAAGGCATAAAGGGACACTTAGGAGTATGTGAGCCGATTCAGAAGACTCATGTTCAAAGTCCCAAGTTTGACTAAAGAAGATGGGTTCTTCACCTTCATGTTCGGATTGAAGCCATGGGCGAAGAGAGTGTTGGAGCGAAGGGAAGTCAAGGAGTTGTCTAAAGCCTTGACAACCGCTGAGTCCATCAAAGAATTTGGAGTCAAGAAGAACAAGACTTCCAAAGCAAAGCCAAAAGTCGAGGATGGCGACAAGGAATTCAGTGATGAAGGCAGGTCAGAGGATGAGGAATATTGTTCCTCGAGTGGCAGAGAAAATCCACTCAATGATGAACCAGATGGTTAGTCTTGGGAAGATGTGTGCAGTCTTGGCATAAGTTTGAGTGTCAAAGATGCTAAGTCGAGGGTAAGAGTCGAGCAAACGAGGGGGAGCAGACTTAATATGCCGGAAGTGTTGCAAAATTACCAAATGGTAGTCAAGTCATCCAAGGTGACGGATGAGCCCAAGATCGAGTTTTCCGGAGAAGAGGACGAACCCAGGATCGAAGAGGCATTGAGAGTTGGCTCAATAAGGTTCATTTCCGCCAAGGCGAGTAGAAGCCAAGTGCAAGAAGAGTTGTATGTGTCCAAGGAGTTTGCCGAGCTTGTTCGTGCAGAGAACATAGCTTCAGAGACCATGTTAAGAGAAGGTTCAAAGCCAGGGGCTTGTCGAGGATGTTCAAGTGAGGAAAAATCCTTCAAAGACTAGTGGACAAGAGTCGAAGGGGGCCAAGACGTTGAGGGACAAGGCAACCACGGAGAAACTGCCCAATAACAAGTGGGTTTACAAGGCGGTGACTACAAACAAACTGAAGTTGTGTTCAGCTTCAGTTGGCATGCTAGAGTAACAAGACCACAAATATTGTTGCATCGATCGAGGTGTGAAGACAGATTAAAATCAATCTTCAAGTGGGAGATTGTTGAAAAATCAAGCATAAGTCAAGCATGAACAAAAAACTTTCAATAATTTTGGCTGGGAATTAATGCACCGATTTCGGTGCTATTTTTGTTGAAAATGGAAATGAGAATATTGTAACTTTAGTCATTTCATTTTTTAGGGTATTTACAAGATTAGTCCCTAAGCTTCAACTATAAATACCCTAACCCATTTAGCTTCAAAATCATCCCCAAATCATTCTAGCTCTCTCTCAAGTGTTTTTGTAAACACCTATAAATTTTCTCCCTTTATTAAAATATTTGTAGCAATCCGGAAACGTAGGCATAATTGGTTGAACTCCGTTATCAATTTCAGGTATTATTTTTCCGCTTTTATTTCCCATTCTCACTAATTTGGTTATAGAGAAATTACTCGTACTCGGTTATTTCCCAACAATTGAGAGACTGCAAATTGATAATGTTGTGGAACCATTTGCATATAGATTTTAATGATGTTTTCCTTTTGATAATGAATAACCTAATTCATCTTGAAATAGAATTTGTAGTTAACTAGCCTTCTTCTTCTCCTTTTCAGTTAGAACATATGAAAAGGGTAATAAAGAATAGAAATTTGTTCATCAAATGATTTACATTTCATAAATCACTTTCTGATATAATATATGTACCAAAGTAGGGCTTTGTATTTAAAACCTAATTTTCCTTTTAATGAAATATTTTTTTATTTTGATATTAACTTATATATGATTAGGGTTCTAAATGAACCGAGTTTAGCTCGAGTATTGTTGAGTTTGATTTGACTCAAAAAGTTAAAATTGAGATCGACTCGACTCGACTGGAAGCTTGTGAGTTTAAAATTATCAAGCTTGACTCAAACTTGAAATAAAAAAAATTGAAGCTCGACTTGAAAGCTCGTGAGCTTAAAATTTTCAAGCTTGACTTAGAACCAAAAATTGAAGCTTGACTCGAACTCCAAAAAAACTTGAACTTGAAACATTCCGACTCGACTGGAAGCTTGTGAGTTTAAAATTATCAAGCTTGACTCAAACTTGAAATAAAAAAAATTGAAGCTCGACTTGAAAGCTCGTGAGCTTAAAATTTTCAAGCTTGACTTAGAACCAAAAATTGAAGCTTGACTCGAACTCCAAAAAAACTTGAACTTGAAACATTCTTAGACTTTACTCGATTGAAGCTTAAACTCGAGCTTGGTTTTCGAACATAAACATTAAGTACATAAAAGTATTGTATTGTATTAGAAAACAACATATATATGTTAATATTATTAATAATTTAATTTTAAAAATTAAAAATTTAATATATTATTTTTTCAAGTTGACCGCGAGTTTTTTAGACGAATATCAAGTAGCTCATTTCGGCTCGTTAAAAAATTGAATCCATTCAATTCAAGTGTTAAACTAAACTTTAACAGAATTGAATTTTAGTAACTTACAATATGTTTCATCTCATTTACCGCCTTATAAGATGGATTTTAAAAACCTTTAAACTAAAATTTGGGAGCTCATGTCATTTTGTTAAACAAATTTAATTCGAATTTTATAATACTTATTTGTCCATTAAAAAATGCGTATTTTTTTATTGAAGGAATATGCATTTTTTAACTTTAATTTTTCATATGTATGAACGAATTGATTTCTTTCAATTTTATTGTAATATGGTATGACAAAAATTTCACTGATGAGATCAAATTTCTTAGTTCTCATTTTATCTGCAAAGAAATGACACAAGTGTCCAATTGATTATTCTGTATTTCATAAGGGCTTTTTAGAACAATAAGCCAAAATTTATCAAACTTCAGTAGCAGGATCTATTTACAGGAAAAATACGAAATTGAAAGAAAAGTAAATTAGTACAGATAATCTCAAAATTAACAGAATTTATAAGCAAAATTTAAAATTTCCAAAAAGAACTCGTAAAACCCGAAGGCCATAAACCAGCCACTCCACCCTAAATCAAAGCAGAACCAGTGGCCGTATTATTTTATCCACTGAAGCCTTCGTCTTCTACAATGGCAAGAACAGCCTGCAATAGTCTTTTTTTTCTCTAACACTTTTTCCGAGCAAAGCCTCCATTTTCACCAAAACTCTTCAATTCGTAACCGCTTTGAATGGGTCCAAAACGAGATTATACTCTTCCAAAGTAACCATGAGCTTAAGAGCCGGCATTGTTGGTCTTCCCAACGTCGGAAAATCAACTCTCTTCAATGCTGTTGTAAGTTTCACTCAATTTAGAACTTTGGGGTTTATTTATTTTTTTCTTCATTAGAACTGATAAGATTGATTTTGAAGAGTGAATTATTGAATTTTGAATGAAATATTGTAGGTTGAAAATGGGAAAGCACAAGCTGCTAATTTCCCGTTTTGTACAATAGAGCCGAACGTTGGGATTGTTGCGGTTCCGGATCCTCGGCTTCATGTTCTTTCTAAGCTCAGCAAGTCTCAAAGAGCTGTCCCTGCTTCTATTGAGTTTGTTGACATTGCTGGTCTCGTTAAAGGTGCTAGTCAAGGGGAGGTAAGACTTCTAATACTATTTTATCTTTTTTTCAGATTATGTTGCAATTTGGTTCTTAATTTCGTACATGTTATTTATTTGTAGGGATTAGGAAATAAATTCTTATCGCATATCCGTGAAGTAGACTCCATTCTTCAGGTTCTTCTCTATTCTTTTCCACCATTCAGTTGTAATCTATTCTGCATTTGCATATGCTTAACTGGTTGCTTTTCTTATTTGTCTTTAAGTTGACGATGATGTCATTTAAATGGAGTTTTCCTAATAGAAAACACAGGATAAATAATGGAAGGCATACACATGCTAGCTTGACCATCATTTTGCTAACTGAAATTAATGGAGTTCCCTTTTCGTAGTCTTTTCTGAGAGTAGTTGGTTAGCTCTTTAGCTTATGAACAAATACAAGCTATTCTCTGTGTTAATCATTACCTCACTTGTGGCATTAAATCTCTGGTTCCTGCATTTATAATACTTATCCATTTCTGAATGTATCTTTCAATCTCAGTAGAGCTGTATAACCTATGGAGCACGGACGCAATTCATGCACAACAGGATATGGACATAGAACTTTCCAGAAGAATAGGACGCATATATCAGGCAGGACAGTTAAGACAGGATAATAAAAAGGAATTTATACAATAATATAAATAAAAATGTAAAATTGATGCTTTTCAATCAAAATATAAGATGCAAATAGCCATTCAATTTTTGAAAAACAATTCTGAATTTTAAAACTTGAACTGTAAGAAACTCATCGGGACCAAATAGCTCAACCTTAAAGACCATAAATTATCAGTTACACCATAAGAGAATTCATTTCATGCTTGTTTCATTCTGCACTGAATCAGCCTTTTTCCCTCACATTCTCAATCCGTGTAATCTATTTACGTTGATACTTTGCTTAAAACTCTCTCACGGTCATCATATAACTCTCGTTCTTGTTTCCCTATGTTATTTTTCACCTTTTTCATTTCATGACCTCCTTAGGACATGAGCATTCACAATTTGTTGATTTTGTATTTGGGAGCAAAAAGAAAACTCTTCACCATGTGTCCTGCTGAGTCTTGACTATTATTTGATCGTGTCTGATTCTTTTTGTTATATCCTCACATATCTGATGCATACTTTTCCGTGTTTGTCACTCATGCAAGACACTTGGACAACCCCTGACACTAGCGTCCAGGCTTCATAGGCTAAAACCCTTAAACGGTGAACTTCCTTCAAATTATCTTAGTTGGAAGTTTAAACCGGTACTGCCTTATTGATATTTTTCCCTTTTTCCAGTCTCTTTTTAAGTCAGCATCATTATGCACGAACAAAGAAAATTTTCAAGAAACATGGAAGAGTTTTTTTTTTCAACGATAAATACTGTTTTCCCATATTAGTTCCTTCCATTTTTTGAATGTTTAGAATAAAGATCTTAGTGGAAAAGCAGACAAAGAGGTCCTTTTGATTTGAGGGCAACTGGGCAAGGGATCATATTATTTATTGAGCCATTCCAGTATTCTAGTTGTTTAAAATTATAAGGAGATCATTCCTTTATCCTTATACAGGAGACTAATCATATATTTAAGAATTAAGGAACCCAACTAAAAACTCCCCACCCTGAACAGTCTTTTATTCTTTTTAGTTGAATATGAAAGTACTCATTTTGAGAATTTGTTGATTTTTATGCTTTATCATTGTCCAATCAAAAGCTCAGCTATGTTGTCATTAACTTTATTTTTTGAAATCAATGCTGATTTTATTATATTTTTCAGGTTGTACGCTGTTTTGAGGATAATGACATTGTTCATGTGAATGGAAAAGTTGATCCCAAGTCAGATATTGATGTTATCAATTTGGAACTTGTTTTCTCAGATTTAGATCAGGTATGCTTGATGGAGCTTTAATACAGCTTCTGCATTGTTTTCAAAAAAGTGTGGATTCTGATTTAATAGTCTGGAACACATTATCATCATATGAGTGCATCAAAACATCTCTTACAATGTCTAATCTTTCTGCATTGTTTGTGTGGTGTCTAATTTACATGTTAAGAGAAAACTTTAAGAAGATTTTACTCAATTACTGCTCCTCTCATGCACTTGGGATGATATTGATTCGAAGAGATCTCTATCTCAAAATTGACCCCTCTTTTAGCAAATAATGGTTGCATACTTTGCTTAATTTATGTATTTATTTGAGAATCCTAGTTACATCTGATTGATAAAACACAATCCTGTGTTAATGGCTTATGGTGATGTGAATCAAATTACTATTTGTGTTTTTTGCATATCCATTGTATCATCCATACAGCTAAACTATTTGCGTAGCCATCCCATATTGCATCCTGTAAATGATATGCATGCATACGTTTCACTTCAATGTCAGTTTTTCCAACATTTGGTCTAACATTAACTTTATGTAATATCATATCCTTGTCCATGCTTGGGCTTCTTACCATGCAGAAATATTTGTTTACACATTTATCTGTGAATTCAAATTAATAATTTGCTGTTCATGTGTTATGTTTTACTCATGCACTAACAGACGATAAATTTGTTTAACTGTTCTTTCTCAAGGAATATTATATCTTAAATAGGTTTACTTGATTGCATTTTTCCCCTATAACCTTTACGAATCCTCTATGGCCATATGACATTCCTTTGGCAGCCTAAACCAAAATGGGGATGTATTGAAGTATTGTATCTTGTATAACAACTGCAGATTGAGAAAAGATTGGAGAAGCTTAAAAAGGGAAAGGCGAAGGATTCACAATCTAAAGTAAAGGTGAAGCTATTTTCCCTCTTCTAGTTTTACTATTAGTCGCCTCTTATCTTTTGCCCGTCGGTCTCTATATTCTATTCTCCGATATGGTTTTTGTTTGTGTTAGCATTGACTTTCTTAAATTTATGTTTTCTTAGGAGGAAGCAGAAAAGTATGCCTTGGAAAAGATTCAGCAGGCACTTATGGATGGAAAGCCAGCACGATCCGTTGCACTAAACTACTACGAAAAGGATGCTGTGAAACATCTTTGCTTGCTGACTATGAAACCAATCATATATGTGGCCAATGTAGCAGAATCAGATCTTGCCGAGCCTGAAAATAATCCCCATGTTAACGATGTGAAGAATCTTGCTTCGGAATTGCAATCTGGAATTGTAACAATATCTGCACAGGTTTGGTGATACTTTTGAAAAGCATAGTATAGGGAGAGTAATATAGACCTTTGCCTCCTCTCTCCCTGATGTGCTTGAGCCCGTTGGCTGACATCGATGCCTGTCAACTTTTACTAAGATAAAAAATTTATCTTCATTTAACGCCTGTTGTCGATTGATGTTTTATAGCCGGTATTCTATCCTGCAGAGGAACTAAGGAAGCTTAACATTTCAGGTTGAATCAGAGCTCACTGAACTTCCATCAGAAGAACGAACAGAATTCTTGAAATCTCTTGGTGTCAGTGAAAGTGGACTTGGAAACCTTATTAGAGAAACATATAGTCTTCTAGGGCTACGTACGTATTTTACATCTGGGGAGAAGGTGAAAAGACAGAATTAGTTTGACAGTTTTTATTTGATCCTGTGAAGGTATATTTCAGCTTGAATCCTTAGTTGTTGCATTAGTTGAAAGCGCTGTTCTTAATGCTGCAGGAATCAAAAGCATGGACAATACTTGCAGGTAGCTTTAGTAGTGCTAGTGTTTGATCCGTACCCTGTGGAGGCAGTCTTATCTTTATCTTGAATCTTAAATACGTGTTCCACTGTTTTTTTTTTCTTGATCAGGAATGACTGCTCCTCAAGCTGCCGGAGTCATTCACTCTGATTTTGAGAAAGGCTTCATTCGTGCTGAGACGGTAAGCATCAACAGTAATTTTGTGGATTGCATCCCATATATATTCTGATTTTCAACTCTACGTGGCTGAATGGATGCATTCTTTTTCCTTTTCCTGCTATTTGGTTTTATCCCACCCGTTGTCTTGACTGATGTTTTAGCTCCAAAAAGGTAAATTCAATCGTTTTGCTTGGCAATGTTCGAAAAACTGGATCAGAGGTCAACATGTTGAAACCACCTGTTATCGGTTCAACTGGTTAGATCTGTTAAAATGATTAATTGTCTAGGATAGAATTCAAAGATTAGAAAACTAGTTTTAATATGAAATAAATATTAAAATAGTGAATAGTAGTTAAACCTTTATATTTTATTGGTACAAACTTCAATTAAGGGGTTATAGGTTAAAATCACATATAATAATGTTTAGCACCGATTTTTTTCCTTCAGATTTGTACTCTTTTTTAACGGTTCAACTGATTTTTAGCCAATACGAAAATTGAATGGTAGGATGATATGTGCTTGATAGGATGCGTCACCGCTTTCTGTTCTGATTCGCCAGCCTGGTCCAGTTTTTTTTTTTTAAACAATGAAACCTGTCTGTATCACTGCAGTGAGCTACTTTCCCTGCAGTCGGCAGCAAACTCTATAGAACACTATTCTATTGAAAGACGTGGAATTAATTAGATGCTGATCTAAATAAGTAAGTGCTGATGTTACGGGGCCATCTGCTTGTGTTAAAAGTGCAGAATTCTTCAGTATATGTCGAAGAATAAAAACGAAGAAGAAACAATGTTTTACATTTCCGAGACATGATTCTTTAATCTGAACCTAAGCAACTTTTATCTTTTTAAACATCTGATTCTTTCCAAGTTATATGAAAATTCAGACGTGCATTCACATGCATTTTGTTTCACCTTAAGATGTTCAATCAAACACTGAATCGTTATTCAGTGGATGTTTGATCATTGATCATGAGATGAAATATATGCTTTGTTCTTTCAGTAACCACCTCTTATGAACTACTTTCTTGTTCTTAATAGGTATCCTATGATGATTTTGTCGCAGCTGGTTCACTAGCAGCAGCAAGAGAGAAAGGACTTGTAAGTTGTTTCATTGTTATTAGCATATAAACTTAAAATCCGTAATAATTTTCCTGAATGGTATGCTCTTAATACCTAGCATGAGCTTCACTTCTGCTATCAGGAAAGTAAGATTGTTTTGCATGCATTTATTTTAAATGGTGAAACTCTTCCTTGGCCCCTCTCTATGTTGCCATGATTCTCCTTTTTTTCGTAAAATATCCGTATCCAATGCACAACTGGAGATGGGTATGGGTATTCGACCCTTCAAGACCCTGCAATACACGTGAAATCTCGGAAAATGTTAAAGCATACCTGTGACTCATACATACATATACCTGACACTCGCATCTAAATCTGAGTAGCAATAAGTTCCAATAGCCCTATCCAACAAAACCCAAACTTGTATTTATTTTCATCTTTTCCCTGATTAACCTTTATTGTCGCGCATATTTAAGCTATCCTCATTACGAAATTTTCTTCACCTCTCTTGGATATAATGCTCAGTATATTTTTCACTACGAAATTTTCTTCACCTCTCTTGGATATAATGCTCAGTATATTTTTCACTGTCGACGCTGATATTGAACTTTCTGCAGTTGAGATCTGAGGGTAAAGATTACGTAGTTCAAGAAGGAGACGTAATGCTGTTTCGCTTCAACGTTTGATGGCCGTTCTTCCAAAGCTGAAGGCAAATTCAGCATCATTTTTCCTATCAAAGCAGTGAACAACAAGTGTAAAACTCTGGCTTTATATCCTACAGTGGTCTAAGAGACTAAGACCGTGTTCAGCGTCAGGAAAATAGTATAGGGATTGATATTATTCTTTCATCATAGCCAAACTAATAGATATTTTTTGGAGATTTTGCTTGACTAATTGTTTGTCTGTAATTCAAAAGTAAAACAAAGGTAAACCCGAGATTCAATCTAGTTGGTTCTTACATTCAAAGTCTACAACTTATCACAATTTGTAGTTTTTTTAAATAAAAAAAAGGGGAAATCTCATTTTTTATCTCAAGGTTGTACTTCTATTTAAACATATGCATTATACTTATAAACATTTGTAGTATCTTTAAACGAAAAATATATACGGATTTTGTACAAAAAGAAAAAAATACATGCCACACTAATCAAAGACTCCTGTAAATACAAACACAAATGGGTAGCAACACATTTGCATGAACTTTTTTTTTCAATCACTCAATACATATAAGAGACTGCTGGGACCGTCAAATTGCATCAAGCATTAGTTTGCATAAAGTTCAACATTACATTATGCTAGTCTCGAGCGACAAAAGTCACCCTTTATACCACAGCACAACAATCTAGATGCTCACATATCTTAGCCAACTTATAAGAGAAATCACAGATGTTAAAATTTTCACAGCTTCCTCATAAGAAGAAATATCCTCTGGTCAAGTTCGAAGTGAGAGACATGAGAAGCTTCTCCCCTGAGCAGCATTAGAAGCCCACCATATGAAACATAGAGCTCCCTGATAATAAGATCAGATATTGAATTCTAAGAACAAGGAGACTACAACAGTGCAAAGAGATCGGATCATGTAATATAGTGAAATAGCAACAAGTTCAGTCCTCTTGGATATCGAGTCAGAGTGCAACCGTGCTGCAATAATGGTGGAACATACAAGATACAAGTGGGACACAAAAGGTAATGGCTAAGAATGTTAATAATCATACGCTTTAAGTCCTTTCCCCGATGCATCATCTGATATCTTGTATAGCTTCCCATGCATGACATACTCGTACTTATCTACAAGAGTCTTCCTCCCCTGGCAAACAAGTCCAATTTCTTAGGCACATTGCAATGATAATTCGTGTAAAGATAGAGGTTCCTTTACATGTATGCATGAAACATAAATGTAGATAAACAGCAAGATAGAGTCAATGTGCCATAGCAAACTCAATTTATGCTGATTTTCTAATTTACTTCAACTGCGATAATGTTTTCTAGTTACAACAAGCATGATCACAAACGAGGGAAAATCTAGGATTTTGGTGTCCTAGAAACATACTTTTTGAATAGCTCTAACTACAGCCAAAATGATCAAACTTTCATCTAGGAATCACATCAGACATACAAAACATGTCCTAGAACCAAATTGGAACCGAAACACAGTTCAAAGTGCACACGATATATGCTAAAACCTGAACACCAGTCACTTTCAACAAGATAGTATTTTGTCGCAGCAAAGAAATTAAAGAGTGTTAAACGTTAAACTACAACTGCAAGAAGAGTACCGGAGTGAAATAGCCAGTGTCGGGTGTTCCATCCAAATTCAACGTGTGAGCTAAAGCCATCGTGAACTTGTCACCAACATGCATAGGATATACCTCTGTATTCACATCTAGGTGCATGAACATGTCACAGTTCTGGCTCCGTGCTTCGATTCGAGTAACTGCACAATTTTCAAACATGTAAATGGGAAATACTAATATTAGACTTAAGTGAAGCAAAATTTAAGCTTGGGCAATTAAAACTGCTTTATATCTACTACTACCGTCGGTAAAACATTCCAAACATGCACTTCTGTTCCTACATAAAGAATACCCAGAATATTCAAGCTTGGCCATATATATTTATCCAAATGACATAAGAGATTACAACAAAACTCGCCCATCTGTACAAGTACAATAACACCTAAATGTTCATCTAGCTTTACATTACTACCAGGTAACAAGAAAATAATCCAAACTCCATAGCCAAAACTCACAATAGAAAACTTCAATGCTTAAAAAATAAACTTTTCACAACAACGACAAGTTCACAGAACATGGATATACTCGGAACATATTGCAAACAAAAAAGGGGAAAACCCAGATGAATGAAAGAAAATCGAAGGAAAGATTAGAGATTTGACCTTTATCGAACTTTTTACCATCTGGGTCAAGCTTATCAACAACAAAAATATCCTCGAAAAGTATTATGCTTGACATCTTCTTCACTCTCCCGACACAAAATTCACAGCAGAAACTATTCCAAGGAGTTTCAGCGATCAAAATGTGGCTATGTAAAAGAGGACGGGAGGGTTAAGTTTATACAGAGCCGGAAAGCATGCAACACCCTTAATATTTGGGCCGGATCTTAGTAGCCCATTCGAATTAGAGCCTGTTTGGTGATACATTAAACGTTTTACGTAAATTGAAAAATAAAATGTTCAATTTTTTTACTACATGTTTGATAACTCACTAATTTTTTTTTAGATATATGTGTCTAAACAATATTTATTTTTATAATATAACATTTTACTTTTAAAAAAATCTATTTATTATTAATTTTTTAAATTTAATTAATTTTTATAAATAATTATATTATAAAAATAACTAAAATATTTAGAATTTAGTTAATTAATAACTTTCAGTGATATTTATTATTTTAAATAAAATTGAATTAGTATTATAATTTTATAAATATTTTTATTTTAGCATATTTTAAAATTGTTGTTCATATATTTGAATTTAAGTGATGAGTTTTAGTAGTTTTATTTGAAAGTTTATAAAAGTTTTGAGAAAAAATACAAAAATATTTATTATATTTGATTATATGGATAGGTTTATAGTTATCACATAAATTGATGTCGGAGTTAACTACGATATTTGTTTTTGGTAAAACAGAATGTATTCGAGGGTGAAATATAAACGGATATTATTATATGTCTCGTTAGAAATTCCTCTAAACTTTGTCGAGAAAAAAAAGTACATCTAATAATACGAAGAGGATAAACACAAGGAAAAAAGAAGGCAGCACCAAGCTGCTCCGAAGTACAGGAGCAAAACCAAGGGCTAAGGGATGAATATCTCATCATGCAGGAGCTTAGTCACCACCTCAGGGTTGTATCGGAGACAGTAGGGACATTCAACAGCCCCGCGAATGACAGCTTCTATCCGAGGAATAATGCCGTCGAACACGTTCATCATTAGTCATCGCTTTATTCTAACACATAAGTCATATGAAGGTTTTAATTTTCGCCAAGCCTCAAAACTTATGCATGGCTTTCCAAACGACACTAGATGGCGCGACCGTAGGACCACCCCGAATGAGATAAGCCGACTTGATTGAAAGTTCCAAATCATTAGAACCTTGCCACCCAACGGAATCCGACAAAGTAAACATAAAAGGTAACATATACATCTTCCATTGAAAATTAAAAGCTATACATGCTGCATTTATATACGAAGTAACCTATCAGTAACATATATATCTAACTAACTAAACAACTAGCTAGATAAACTATCTAACTATCTAACTAACTAGCTAGATAAACTATCTAACTAACTAACAACTAGCTAGATAAACTATCTAACTAACTAAACAACTAGCTAGATAAACTATCTTCAACAATATTAGATTCAGTCAGTACTTAAATTATTAGTATAGAGGTTTGTAAAAAAAATTACATGTTTAGTCAGTATTAATTTAACGACTGAATGATGTAAAAGAATGAAAGGATTTTAATTACTTTCTAAAAGATATTTTATTTAATTTTTAATAATTTTATATGTTTCCCACCATATTTATTTAATCTCCCCCTCACTGAATCAAGTGTCCAGAAATAGAGGAAATAAAACAGTAACATTAGCTTATTAAGAAGAAAAAAAAATTCAAAGCCACTGCCCACTGGTCTTTTAGTTGATGTCAGGATATCCTTGGGTCGACCCTTATCCATTCTTCACTATTCCCGTTAAAAGGTGGGTCTTTGATCTGTTTTAATTTTCCTGTCAACTGCGACAAGGTAAGTAAGAGAAGAAATGGTACTGCACTGGTGCCCGTCCATTTCGATTCCGATTCCCAAGCCCTTGTTAACCTTAACCCATCGTCGCAATCCCAAGCCAAAATTCAGTTGCTTTGTTGTCCCCAATATTTGGGTTGACGATATTGCTCAACTCGCCCAGAACAAGGTGCTGGTGGCGGCTGCCGCCTCGGCAGCAATCGGGCAGCTCTCAAAGCCATTCACTTCTGTTATTCTTTATGGGAAAGATTTTGATTTCAAGACTGCTTTTCAAGCTGGAGGTTTCCCATCTACCCATTCCTCCGTAATGCTTCTTTCTCTTTGGTAACACTTCATTTCTTCTTTCACTTTGCTTCTCCTAACCATTTCCTGATTCGGCCCTCATCTTTATCTTTTATTTGGCTTGTTTAATGGACAGTCTGTCGTGGCTGCTGCAACTTCTCTTGCTCTTGAAAGGTATTTGCTCTTGTATAGTCATTCAGATCTCTGCTTGCTTGTATTTTAGTTTTGCGCTTCTAGAATCAAACAGTTCTTTCGAACGAGCTCTTTATATCTATATATGTGATTTGCAGGGGGTTCTCTGATTCGATTTTCGGGGTGACGCTGGTCTACGCTGGCCTTGTCATGTATGATGCTCAGGTATGCACATGCTCTCTGTTCTCGTTTTTGTCTTGTTTTTAATGAATGTTTTAGTTCTGCCCCACTGGGAATTGCTCTTACATCTTTCAATGATGATGTTTTTAATGAATGTTTGCTCCTGTTTCATGTGGATTCTTGTCAGTAGCAATGTAATATTCTCGTAAACTAGTTTCATGAAATAAATATTTTTTAGCAAAATTTTATTTGAAGGTGGCTGCATAACTCTAAAAAGTGTTTTATTTCCGATTCCAAAAAGTTGAATCCTTTTGACTTTGAAAGTATTGTGAACTTAGAGCGTTTATCTTGTAACATGGTATTACAGCTAGGTTTATTATGTCTTTTTATTTGTGTTTTCTTAATGTTCTTCCATATTCTTGCTTTGTTCTTATAGCATATCTTATTTTAATTTGTTCCTTTTTATTGTGTGTAAGCTATTGGGTTCTAATCATGTTGCTAATTAGTGTAAATTTTAATTTTGTGCTTCACTGAGGTTATAGTTTATATGCCACTTCTAATCAAAACTCTAATCATGTTGCTAATTAGTGTTTACTTATGTCCTTTCCATGTTAGTTCTTATAGCTTGATTCTTGATTAATTACATGAATTTAGAGAAACTATCTATCTGGAATTCATCATGCTTTGGCCAAACACTTTACTATTTAATCAAAGCCAAAACAAATTATATATCTCCTAGTATCACTTGAAGTGGTGAATGAATCCTATATGGATCACTTATTGATCTTCCCATGTTTTATGCCATGCCCCAAAACACGATATTGTTGGCATCTTAATTTGCAAGCTGTTCGAATCAGATCAAAGTATGACCATCCATGTACAAGATGGCTTGGTATTATAGAATTTGAGTGTGATTATGTGACTGGAACATAAGAAAGTTTATGTGGAAATCAGTTTGACAATTACCAAACGGAGTTCTCAAAGCGCTTTAGGTTTTGTGAACATCTACGGAAAACAAACACCCATTTATTAATGAATTAGATCCCAAGTATTCTGTATAGTTAAATTATGAGATCAGTTGCTTGCATAGTATTGCTAAAGCGTTGCCTTGGCTTAATGATAACCAAGAATAGTTTAGGAATTAGGCTATGATGGATAAAGATCTCATAGTTCATATTACTTTACAATTTCCTTGGAAAGTTGTTATATTTCATTGGCTGTATTCGATTAGTACATTATAACTTTGTATCCATGTGCTAATCAAGGAAAACCCTAATGAATGCAGTAATAGAGAATGGTACGGATTATTAACTGTATATCCCTTACACAATCTTATCATTTCTAGGACATATAACTTTCAAGACTTTAGTCTTTTACGAAAATTGAAGAGTTTGAGTAACATCAATGGTTGTTATCATCCAATAATTTTAGTGACATGGTGCTATTCTATAATGGATAAGGTGCATTCAATAGTTGTTTAGGCTTCCATAGCCATCCACCTCTTCTTTTCTTCTGGTATTTCTTGACATGTGCCAAAGTCGATTAATTAGTTTGTAATGGGTTGGTTGAAGATTTTCAACCTGGTAGAGTGGTATGGCAAGCAGTGCTTGGAAAAGTTTGGGAGTGATGTGTTGGAGAAGGAGATCAATGGCTGGCAGATCTAGTTGACCTGGTTGGTGATCATTGTTGCATGAAAGGAAATAGAGAAGCAGTTGGAAAATAAAACCATAACAAAAAGCAAAATTTGATAAAACACTAAAGCCCTACTACTTTGAAAGCAAATAAAATACTAATTAGTATATAACAATGTGATTAACCTATATATATAATTGGTACCTCTAGCTTATAGGCACTGATTACGGTTTACCTAATTACTTATCTGAATGGTTGTTTTTTGTTGTTGTTTTTAATGCATTCAAGAAAAACTAGGTCATCAATTGCTTGCTTATTTCTATAGATATCACCTTAACCAATGATCATTTTGGTTGAAAGGCATTTATGATCTGAATAGCTATATAATGATTTTAAACTCAACTAGGTTGCTAATCCTCCGACATTTCTTCAACTACGGGGATGTATCTGTGTCTAGTCTAAACTCACGTCTGACCTTTTTTAGAAACTAGGAATTGTAGAACAATGAAAGGGAAGATCAACATCACAGGGTTCTTAAAGGGGTCACAGTAATTAAGGTCGATTGCATTACACAGACAAATCACACTGTCTTGTTGATCAATCTGTGAGTGAAGAGTGCAGAAGTAAATAGAGAAAATTTTGCCACTGCAGGAGCCTTTCTTCCAAGTTCCATTCTCTCTTGCTGGTGGTCTGTTTTTGCGAGTGCAGCCGGCTTCATTCTCACTTTCTGGTGGTCCAATTGCTTTTGCTTGAGTTGCTCTTCTGTTAGGCTATTGCCTGTCGTATATTGCTCTCATTTGTCGTTGATTTAAAATGATTGTTCCAAACTGTACTATTGCGGCAATGCATGATGATTGCTGCTTGTATATTCATAATATTCAACATACTCACACAAATATATATATATATATATATATATATATTAGTAAAGCTGAATGATCTTGTTTGGCATGTGTGTATACGATATGACATTGTTATCCGTTGGTAAAATATTGTTAACATGTATGGCTGAATGTGAAGTACTCTATGGATCTTGGTTTTG